GCCATTTGCAAAAATTATTATCCTCTAAATAAACCCATTATATGCTATTTACCAAATGAAAAATCATTAATTATCATAAGTTTAGCAATTTTACCCAAATTCCCCTCATCAAAAAATTACTAGCTACATATGGTAAACTAAACGAGTCACTTACAGTTTCAGTTTCGTCTTTCAGTTGATCAACTTCACCAACACACTTCATGTCCCGAAAAAATTTACTGAACTTTTCATTGATCTTTTTAATCCTTTGATCCAGTGGCTTAAGCCAACTATACACATTAATTATTTAATAAAAGATCATGTGACAGTCATGTGACTCACCCATTCTTCAATTCTTCAATATTTTGCTCATGATTCTGATACTCTTCATCTTCTTTCTCAATCTACATGTAACCGCAAAATACATTGTAAATTCTTAATAAAAATCAAACAATAACTCATTAATTGTTAGTAACATATAATACATCAACACCCACAAAGGCCACAATGTTAACATGCATGTACATAATGTGCAGCTACATGTACATGTAATAGTGAATGAGACCTAAAGCAAAGCTTACAACTGCTGCAAAATGAAACACAGAATTAAAATGTACAATGTAGTCAATCTTTAAATTGTTTTCATTGATCAAGTCCCTCATGCAGTAATGGCTTTCAAAGTGAACTTCACCTGTTCTCTTAATTCTTTAATCTTAGACTCATTAGCTTCATATTGTCTAGTAGCCTATACAAAAAGAAAGTATAAAAACAAAGATACATATGTACAGTGTATGTAGAGTGTGTTTATACTTGGTTACTTACAGCTTCTTCATCATTGAGAAATGAGGAGTGCATTTGTACTTGTGTTTGGTGCTCATGTATCAGATCCTCAAGCTCAGCTGATATCTCTGGATAACTAGTGAATGCCTAAAACCAATGAATAATAGAACATGTTGAAAGGAACATAAAAACATAATTTCATAGTAAAAGTAATCGATTTAAATACATGTACATGTATGCATGAACATGTGTATATGTACAATGTACATACATGTATGTATATACGTGCAAAACGTGAGTTGTAATTCATGTTCATAATTATACTAACATAAACTTGGGTTCATAAAATACTATACAAGATGACTTATTGGTGAGAGTAATATGTGGCAAATTTGCCTGTGGAAAGCTAATGGTGAATTTTACATTGGGAATTTGTGCCATGTGCCATTGAGCATGCTCAGTTTGAAACAAAATGGCGGATTCTATATTGGCGATTTCTTCATAGAACTGCCAATCGCCAATATTAATTACTTGCCAATAAATCATCTTGTACCGTAGTATATTAGTACATGTACATGTAAATGATAATATTTACATCAGTTATCTCCTGAGGTAGACTATTAGGTGATGTACTCCTGTTAGTTCTTTAGCTTTATCCATCATTAAACGAGCTTTATCTTTATACATACTCTCTGAGTCCTTACTCCTTAGCTTGAGTAAGAGCAGCCTCACATGTTGGAATAATGACAATAAAAGAGAGACAAAGAAGACAAGAAAGAGATATTAGTAGAGAGATCTAAACTAATAATTGTTTTCTCTTACAGATGCTTCTTTCAGTTCACTATGATTGGCCACTTCTTGAAATTCTCTCTCAAATTCTTCTCTTTTCTTTTTAGATTCCATTAGACTAAACCGAGTCCTTATCTTAGCCACTAGCTCATCACGATAAGTCTATACATGTACATAATACAATACATGAACAATGACAATTTAATACCATACATAATATATTTCATGGGTATCAAATTTCACGATTCGGTTACATTCAGTTTTGTATTTGAGAATAATAAATTTTGCAATTTTAATGTAACTACCACACCTACTATAGTCAGCATGCTATTTTGTGGATTTTAATTTCGCAAATTTTTCTGAAATGCAAAAATCATAAAATTTAATCCCCACAAATATATGACGCATACCGTACTAATACATTGTATAAATTACACATAAAAACATGCACAAAATTAACTGTGACAAACTTATTAAATTCTCTCAAGAGCAAAATAATAAATTTAAATTACTTGGACTTTAATTGATATCTTTTTCAATACATCCTTTCTAGAATCAGCAAACTAAATATATGGAGAGACAATAATGAGGAGAAAAAGAGGGAGAAAAGGAGAGTGGGAGAGATCTAGTTAATACATGTAAGTAGCAATTTTTTATAACTACATGAGAGAGGAAGGAGAAAGAGAGGGAAGGAAGAAAGAGGGAAAACAGAAGTATATGCATGTACAAGATGAAATGTTGAAAAAGTAGCAATACATTATTTATGTACATGCATCTCTTACCAGTGTTAGGATTGGTTCTTAATTGGTCTCTTAAACCCAATTTAAAACATAAACATCATCACTGTCCTTCTCAATTGTGCTTATTTACTTTACTTCATATTATAACATAAACTCTGTACAGGACCCTCCACTAATTTAGTTAGATGGTTTGGCTTGACAAAAATTGGCATAATGTTGGACTCGCATAGGCTGGTAACTGGTAAGCATTTAAAAATGTAATATAAATTGCTGATTCTTTCAGAGCACATTTATAGCACTTTCAGTGTCATGTACACCTTTTGCAATTTGCATACCACACAGCTGGAAACTTTCAAAAAAGGTAACTTTTGTTACTTTGGGGTTTTGTTGAGATTTACAAAATTAAAATCAGCAAAAATCGTACAACTGGCAGAATTCTTTAACTCACAAAAATTAAATCCATCAAAATGATTTATTAGCAAAAGCTTAATTCTTCAAAAGTTTACAGCTATGTGGTAGCATATGGCATCTACAAGTATAGTATTATAAAGATAAGAACTAACATAAATTTAAAACTAAATAACATATAACATTAGCTACAACTCCAAATTAAAATCATTAAGTGCAATGTCACTATCATTAGTTCTAACTCTTTTCACAGACTGTTCTAACTGAAGTGCACCCTCCAGAGCTGTTGTCCATTTTTCCCTCAAGAGATTAGCAGCAAATTCTATTGGTCCTCCAACACTAGACAGAGCTTCAAGATACTTCACACAATGCTTCTCTAGGTCAGACTTAGAGTCTAGTAGATTCATTAGAGATAGAAAACTTGTGGCAATGGCATCATAAGTAGGTGACTTCTGAACTTCCTCCGGAATTATATGAACCTCAAACAGTTTGTTAGCAACATGGACCAGAGAAAACTGTAGAAGTCCAGCAAAATCAGCGTGATTCTCATTCATAACCTTTTTAATCTTTTGCTTAACTGCTGTAATATCGACCCCTATAATAGCAACACACAATTATAGTTATAACACATCATTATAAATAGACGTACCACCTCCTTCTCTCTTCCTTTTAGTTGGTATTGGTACAGGTATTGTTCCAGTACTACTACTAGCAGCATCTACATAACATATATATTAATTGAATAATAAGACTAGTTTAACACTACCTGCTGTAGGATAAGTAGTTCTCTTTGACCTGTGAATATTTATTGTCACAGGATCAATCACACCCTCTACTGGGACAGAATAGTGCAATGATGGAACAGCATCAGGTGATGAATAAACTGATAGCAGACAGTAGGGAGGAAGAGAATAAACTTCTTTACCGAAATTATAAATGGCCTTTTGATATAACTGTCACACATAATGATACAATTAATTTATATATTTTTTCTTACTCTGCAAGGTTCTGTGTGAGATTCAATAGTCCATCCTTTACATGACTTCTTTTGTGGAGCATTTAAATTCAATTCAATGAAACCATCAGGTGATTTAATACAAAAGGAAATAGAAGGTCCCATTTCAGCTTCAGAATGCTTTTTTTCAATAAACTACAATGCACACAATACACATTGTATTAACACATGAGTACATGTATGGTCATTCATACCTGGACAAGAGCATCTAATTTCTTGGCTGCAGTAAAAGTGACTACATCCTCAGCACCTTTCTCCTCATAATAAACCAGCCCAGTATATGTTATTAAATCTTTAGGTATACTTCCAGTACTAGTTGATTCTTCTAATACTGACTGTTGAGACACTGTGTCTTGAATTAATGCATCATTACCT